ACAGTATTTGTTATGAGATGCAGCTCTTCAAATTGCAACTGCTTTGGCTCACAGAGAAGCCAAACTCTTCTAGTGCCATCAGAAATGGGGCACGAGTGCCATCCCCAAATCTTCATCTACTGCCAGCGTACAGATCCCAAGCAGGGCACTTACAGCTGGGAGGAAACTGGGCAATTACTGCCATGGGCAGGGACACCTTCCACTGGACCAGGTTGCTCCAAGCCCCATCCAACCTGGCCTTGAACCCTAAAATATATACATTCCTATATATATATATATAAAAATACAAATGATCCATCTGAAACCCACACCTTTATAAAGGGGAGCCGTGTTTAGAGCTGCGTCAACACAAATTAAAATCTCTCAGTGACAATCACACCGAGATTTTAGAAGGCAGGAGGCAGAACGGGGAAGATGATTCCAAACTTCCATTCCGGGCGGCCGCCGGTGCGCCAGACATGTTGTGTCTCCCATGCAGCTCCCGGGAGCCCGTTGTGAAGGAACACAATCTGCTCCGCCAGCACGCGCCAACATCAGGGCCGGCCCGTGGCTCGGCTTCCCGGAGATGACTCAGACAAGCCACCAAACCCAGTGTTTGCACTGCCACGAGGCAGTTTCGGCACACAGCACCCCAGACCCCAGGAAGTGTTGACAGGGAGGTGTCACCAGGCGGCAGATGTGGAGGTGAGAGATATCAAGTCCCTTTGGAGAGGAGCTGCGCCAGATCATGGGAGAGGAAAAGCACGGGGTGGGGGGGGGTCTCTCTGCTGCACAGCATCCCAGGCAGAGCTTGCTTTTATTTTACAAAATCCATTTTTCTTACCCAGTACACCCAGATGCATCTCCCTGTGCCTTGCAAAGGCTGAAACCACCCATTCCTGCCAAAATCAGCTCAGCCAGAGGAACACATGGGGTCTAAGCCACCTCCCATCACCTTTGAGATATTTCTCATCTCTTGTATATTTCAGGTGCAACCCCATCAGGAAAAGAAAACCAGCTCCTTGAGAAACCTCCCAATTCATGGAAAAACCTGATTCCAGCCATTTCTGATCCCAGCCTGCCGGTACAGATGCAGTCCCTGGAGCTGCAAGGTGGAGAGCACTGAGCCTGGGAAGGAGAGCTCGCTGTAAGGAGATTAATTAACACGCTGTCAGGGCAACTGCCAGGATCTCAGAGGTGGGATGGTGTCCTCTTTGGGCTTGTGCTTTATGTGGAGAGAGGGAATAAAAGCTGAGGTTGGAAAGGAGGGCCAAGCCCTACACTGAAATGGGAGGATGGTTGGTGTCCTCGTGTTAAGGAGGTCAGAGATGCCAGGCCAGGTGCCCAAACTCTCCTTGACTGGGGTGAAGAAGGGAAAACCAGCTTCTTCATGCCTCACCTGCCTCCAGACATGGGATAATTAAATGACACATCACCATCACCTGAGTGTGACCTGCCAGGTTCATACCCAGTTCGAAAGTGAAGAGGCACAACAGAGTGTTGGCATGCATTTAAAAAGAGCAGAAGGATTGGTGTGGTGCTGTGGCTTTTAAAAATTGCTGCTATTTCAACGACAACCGTGCTCATGGTTTGGTTTCTGCCCAAAGTTGAAGCCTGCCTGGTTTGGTGCCACTTGAGTAAGTAATAAGGGGAGGGATGTGGGCTCACCTCCCCTCTCTGAGCTATGGGAACTGCAGACAGAAAAGACACAACCAGGATTCTGAGGAATTAAAGGCAATGTTTTCCCAACTATTTTCCCTCCTAGCTTAACTTTAACATTTAGGTCTCTTTCTTAATTAGCCCAGTTATGTGGCCATGTAATTGCTTCCAGGAGCGGCTCCCTTCCCTCCTGCCTGGCCTAAATATCCCTCCTGGTATGAAGAAAACATTTCTTTCAGGTCAAATTATTTTTATTTTGATTATGGTACGGGGTTTCAGGCCCATAAACACATGTGGTTACCAGCACAAGCAGAAAATTAACCAGTCCCCTGCCAGACCCAGATGCTGATCTAGCACTTGGCACCTCAAGGCTCGGTCCCCAGCTCTGCCTTTAGCACCCAGGGAACTCATGGCATGCCCTGTGCCTCAGTTTCCCCATCTGTAAAGAGAATGATTGGGACATTTTGTCTTTCCTTTGCTTTGGATCCTGAAGACCATTGCACACAAGGCATTTCTGCACTGTATAAAGCCAGACTTGACGACATGTGCAGCCACAAAGACACCCTGCCATTATTTCAGCTCTTCCTCTGAAATCACCCAACTTTCCAGTCTCCTGGAGCGGACACATTAAAAGCAGCCTGGGAGGATCTCCAAACCTGCAGGGTTTTCTTAAGCACACTTATCCCTGTCTCCTGCAACCCACGAGGATTTAGTTGGTTTTCCCGGCATTCCCGTGCTGGGGAGGGCTCCGACCGTGCCCCACCAAAGGCAAGAATGCTCACCATGACTTGCCTCATCGTGCTCGTCCCTCTGTGCCAGTCCTCCCACGCCAGGAGCAGCCTGCCAGCGCTGCTTTCCAAGGCCCTACAGCTCTGAAAACCCTGGCCCTTCCACAGCTCCCAGCCTTGCTTTCTTCCCTCTCTGCCCCAGCCCTGCCGCCCCAAACCCCAAACCCAGCAGCACATCCGTGCCTTGGGGATTCACCCGCTGCCAGGGCACCCGAGCCTGGCTGGGTTTCCTCCCTGGGAACTGAGAATACTCCGTGGGACCTGCTTGGACTGGATCCCAGTGGTGGAGTTCCTTAGTGACACTGTTGTTGGTTGCTGATTGTAGCAACCGCCGGGCATTCGGCACCGGCCACCCAGCCTGGATCGGCGGGAAAGGAGGGGGTGGGAGAGAGGGTGCCCACTGACACTGGGGGAGATGGTGCTCCAGGCAATCCCTTCCCTGTTCCTACAACACTCATCCCGTGCAGTGTGGAGCTTCCAGACCCTTTCCTTGTGGTATCGCTTCCTGCAGAGGATGAACCACCCCAACGCTGAGCAACGCCGAGTGCTCAGGTTTTGCTTTCTCACTTTGGATATTTTAATATATCCAAAGCGTGGAGGACAGTAGCCAGAGAAAACACAGCTATTCCTCAAGCTGAAGGTTTTCCAGGAACATGGACTGAGCTGCTTTTGGACGTACAAGTCATTAGATTTTTGTCATCCTTGGATCACCTGCCTGTGTCAGGGGCTGTCCAAATTATAAATGTGTGCCTGGGCCCAGAATCCACTGCAGGGAAAGGGAAGCTCCTCCTGACCGGCAGGATCTCCCTGACCAAGACCTTTGTTTCCTAGCCAACAAACTTCCCCTCTGGACTGATGGGCTGGAGAAGCTGGCTTTGCCCCACAATGACCTCAGAGGGCAGGGAAGGTCAGTGCCCAGCCAGAGTCTGGACACTTTCCTTCTTCCCTGTCCATACCAGAGAATCACAGAATGGTTTGGGTTGGAAGGGACATGAAAGATCATCTCATTCCACCCTGCTGCCATGGGCAGGGACAGCTTCCACTAGACCAGGTTGCTCCAAGCAGCGCCCAACCTGGCCTTGAGCACTTCCAGGGAAATTAAATGACATCTGCCTGCTCGTACAGAGAGAATTAGGAAGGGACAGTTGTGCTATTCCGCCCTGAGGCCAGTAAAATACAGTAACACTTGTAAGTGGTTTTTACTGCCCATCTAGCTTATTATCTAATAAAACAAGCTTAGCATGTTAAATGCTGTTGCTGTGATTTATCAAAAGACAAGAGCAATCCTTGTGTTATCCCCCTGCTATGACCCAAATACAGGACTCCCTTGCCCTTTTTATCCTCTAAGCTCCCCTGGAGCAGGAAAAGCTGATCTCTTCCTCCAACACCACTGCACTCCTTCAAACACCCTCTGCTGTGCCAGGCACGAAAGACCATAAAATATCATGTTCTTGAAAGCCCATAAAACATCATGTTCTTGTAAGGAGAAAATGCACACACAGCAATGGATGTCGCCCACTGGGTATTTCCCAGCTGTTTCTCCATCCCACCTGCTGAACTGCTCCCAGCAGTTTTCCTGCAGACAACAAGGGGATGCCTTGCACCAGGCAGGCTTTGCTGGCCCTACAAAAAAAGCATCAGGGCAGATGATCCCATCACAGTTGACTCTGGCATGAAGCGCAGAAGGCAACCACATCAAACTGAAACCACGAGGGAAGTTTTCTGGCCAGCAGAAGGTGACAGCTCACCTTGGGAGCTGGCCAGGGTGCCCCTGCTCCCACAGTGGGAGCCCTGGGGTTTTCACACCCCTGTTATCTCCATCCCACACAGAGCTGGTGTGGTATCACCGACTTCACAGCTATAAATTACTGATGTGGGAAATGTCAAGTCATAAAAACTGCAGGAAAAGAAACCTTATGAGTGTGAAATGGAAACGTTGCTCGTGCTGTCCTTTGATGCAGCCTCTTGCTCTGTCTCTCAGTGGAGCCCAGTCATTTGGTCCTGCAGGGAGAAGACCCAGGAGCAAAACGCTCCCTGATTTGTGCTTCAGCTCTGTTATCTGGCTCTGCATGGCAGATGAAGAGGGAGGTTGTGCTCTGTGTTTGCAATTGAAAATGAAATGTGATAACATCTTCAGAGTGGAAAATTACAGAGGCTAGGAGTGAGTAAAGCCCGTAGCAGTAAGAATTCAGCTCCTGACAGAGCCAGGGCTGGGTGCCTCGGGGTGCTGCCTTCATCTCGCCATGGCAGGCCCAGGACTCTCTCTCACCTGAACTCAAAACTGTGGGGTTTAACATATTCCTGCTTGAAACCTGTGCCGGGCGGAAACAACGACATGGTGGACTCGGCGTGCAAAAATCAGAGTAGAACAGAAACGCGGGAAAGAAGTCCCTTTGGAAGGGAAAGCATTCTGCTTGGACAGAAGGATGTGTTTCTCTGTAACTCCTCTGCTACTCTGCGTGCCACAGGCCCACCTTGCAGGGTGCTAAAAGCTCTTTAGCAAAGCAGAGAACAGCTCTTTACGTCCCCTCGCTGCTGAGCCCCCTGGCAGGGACAGCCCCTGCCGCCTCTTACCTGGGTCATCTTGGCCAGGTCCAGCGAGGGCCGTTGCTCCTGGACCTCCTCCGGTCTCCGCCGCTTGACTCCCACCTTTTTGTCGTTGAGGACGCAGGGCTGGGAGCGGCTCCGGGAGAGCCCCCCGGCGCGGCGGCCCAGCTCGGGCGTGGAGGCGGGCGTGCTGCTGGCCGAGGGCGCGCCGTACTCCGAGCAGGAGAAGCGCTCGTGCGAGCAGGACAGGGACCTCTGAATGTCCACCCGCTCCCCTCCGCGCCCGCAGCCGGCGGCCGCCTTCCTGGGCTGGCCCCCCGGCCGGGTGGGATGCTCGGTGCAGAGCGGGTTGGAGCGCGAGGGCAGGCTGAAGCTGGAGCTCCTCTGCATGGTGGCGGAGCCATTGGAGTAGCGCTGCACGCTGCCCCCGCTGTAGCACCGGCGCTTCTCCACCGGCGTCCACACCTTGGAGCCCAGCGGTCTCCAGGAGGTCCCGCAGCCCGACATCTCGTCGGAGAAGGAGAGCGAGCGGCACTGGCGCTTGCTGGGGGGGGCCGAGGCGTTGCCGTGGGGGTCGCTGAGGCTCAGGTCCTTGATCAGGTTGGTGACGGAGCAGGTGGTGGCCGCCTCCCTCGGCCAGCGCGGGCCCTCCTCGCCCTTGTCCGAGAGGCAGTCCCAGATGCTGGCGCCCGGCTGCTCGAGCTGGAGTGGACACTTCCTGCTGAGATCTCTCCATCTGTCATTTTCTGGTTCAGAAAGGAGAGGGAAAAAAAAAAATAAAAAAATAAAAAAAAAACCAAACAACACACACGCACAGGCATTAGCGTTAATTAATTCTGCGTTTCGCTTTTCTATGTCCATAAACAAAAGAGTAGCATATGGGACGTTTTCCAGTACAAATTAATTAACTCTTGGAATATGGTTTTCCGAACTGCCAGCAGAGCGGCTTGTACGGCGTAGGTGGAGAGAGAGACAAAGTGACAATCTCAGCAGGAGCAAAACTGCTAGAAGAAGATAAAAACATGGCTTTGGATATTCCAGATGGCACTGGCTAAGGGGAATTCAGCAGTATAAAACAGTGTGGCCATGGGTTATCTCTGTGCTAAATCATGTCTCAGACGTGGGCGTGGGTTCCACAACCAATAACTGCCTAAAAGGCTCACGAAAACTGGAAGTGAAGAGTACAAATCTGGGGCAAGATGGACCCCGGGGGACAAAACACCAGAAAGGAGACGAGAGAGGGGTTGGGATGGTCCTAATGGAAAGGGGGGTGTCCGACTGGGCACCGATCTGCCTACCTGTCTGGCAGAGCACAGAAACCCCAACAAGGTCACCAGAGCCTACGGGAAACCAAAAGCCACCCCAACACCCATCGGGCTGTCCTGCTCTCAGCCACTGCTAAATCAGCATTGCTCCAATGAAACCAACTTATCCCCACTAAGGCTCTGAGCATCTCTCCCAAACTGAGCCCAAGATAGTGTCAAACTTCTACTCTTCTGCTGCAACCTGGGTTTAGCATCCCTTTGGGGTTGCCTTAAAGATCCCAGGTGTACCTAGCAGAGCCAGTTGTTTGCATTTCTGTAAGAAACATAAGGCTGAGCATTTATTTAAAGGAACAAACTGCTTAATAGGTTCACCATTTTAAAAACCCCAAACACTTATTTTATTCCTCTCTTACACAGATTTATTTATTTATTCCTCTCTAGTTTATTCATCTTATTTAAAGGGGAATTTGTTCCTCATGCAAATTTGGCTTTATTAAAATCTTTCAATGCAGCACAGCAAAAGATGGTGGTGACCTGCTGCATGGTTTCAGGGTCAGCATAAAGATACTCCTTTTATCAGGTGGGTTTTGCAGTGCCTGGGTAAAGCTCCAAGAAACCTGGACCTCCAAAGTCTGCAGGCTGAGATGTATAGGGCTGCAGGCAGCTCCATGGAGGAAAACTGCAAACCTGGTTACAGCTGTATTCAGAAATCATAGAATCATAGAATAAAATCATGGAAACATAGAATTGTTTAGGTTGGAAAAGCTCTCCGAGGTCATTGAGTCCAACCATTCCCCCATCGCTGCCAAACCCACGGCCAACCCATGGCCCCAAATGCCACACCTGCACAGCTTTTAAATCCCTCCAGGGACAGGGACTCCACCAATGCCCTGGACAACCCTAATATCCAATCTATACCTCGCTTGGTGCAACCTGAGGGCGTTTCCTCTTGTTCTGTCACTTGTTACCTGTTAGAAGATACCGACCTCCACCTGGCTACCCCCTCATTTCAGTTAATTATTGAGAGTGAGAAGGTCCCCCCTGAACCTCCTTTTCTCCAGGCTGAGCCCCCACAGCTCCCTCAGCCTCTCCTGGTGCTCCAGACCCTTCCCACCGACGATCATGTCAGAAGAGAGGACTGAGGGTGACGATCTCATTCCCACACACATCCTGCTGACAACAAAAGAGGAATGCAAAGCACCACCAAGGCCGGGCTGCCCTGCACAGGCTGCGCAGGCGGACAGGGCTCTCTGATGCTCAACAGGAAAGCCGTGGTAGGACAACCACACCGGCTGCTGCAGTGGAAAAAAGTCATCACCCAGCAGACTTTCACTGGTGCCTGTTTTTGTCGTTGGCTGCTGCAAGCAGAGGCCAACCATGCCAGCCAACCAACCATCGCTGCCAGGTTTCACATGATCGTATCTGAGCCACGCAATCTTTTTTGGGGGGGTTTCGGGTATTTCCACTCGGGCAACCGAAGGATGCATTTCAAAGCCCTACCCAGCTCGCAGCCGCAGGTACCAGCCTGATAGGGAAGGCGCAGCGGTAGAGAGGGCTGTCAACAAAGGTTTCAAGTCAGGATGTCAGATTTGGGGCCCCCTTCCACCACTCTTGGCCAATTTTCCCATTTCTCCCTGCCTCCAGCTCCAGCCACAAAACAGCCTGGCTCTGCCCGCAGTAACCGCATGGCATTTCAACTCCTGCTCTCCTCATTTTAATAAACACAATGAAAAGTGAGACATGTGTGCTAAACAACTTCATCTATGCTTAGATCTTTATTATTTTTCCTCTGTATTATGCTGCCAGCTGAGAGGTTTCTTAGGTCAGGCCAGCAGACAAAAGAAACAGAAATAGAAGCCGATTTTTCATGGCAAGCTGCCACGATCCTCTGGCCGGAGACTGTACAAAGGGCCTTGGTGAGGAGGATACGGGACACCTTCCTCTTTCACCCCTGCTTCAGCACAAACAGCTATAAATCTTCCAAACCCTGCAAAGAAAATGGTAATAGCACCACTATCCCCAGCCCCAGCTTGGGGTCAATTTGCTTTTCCCCTTGCACCATGAGAGCTGGCACAGCCTGACCCCCCCTCCCCCAATCCCCTGGACATCACTGACCACTGACCAGATATTCCAGAAAATGGGTTTTCAGTGCAAACAGAAAGCAGGTTTCACTGAAACAGTTCGAAAATGAGGTAATCTAAAGGCTGAAGGTGTAATTAAAGAACTCCAGAAAGCCTTATTGAGGAAAAGTGGTTGGTTTTCTGCTCAAATTTTTAAGGGTAAGATTCCCATCCTGGCCAAGCTGATAACAGTAATTGCACTGGAGCCGTTAATTCTACTGCAGTTAAACATGTATTAATTGTCTTTAATTACAAACCTCAGCCTGGTTTACCCTGAGGCAGTAATTTGTTCCAGGATAAAACCCACCATGAGAACCCCTTGATTTGCAAGTGAGATGTTTCGCTGGGAAACTCTCCTTTGCCTACTGGAAAATGACGGGGCAGGCAGAGCACGGTGTGAGTGCAGCTCCGGGGGCTCTCCCCCTGCTTAAACAGGTCCTCCTCGGCTGTTAGTGTCCTTGGATGAAACAGCACCTCCCCACCTGGATTTTTACTTAAAACTGCAAAAATAAACACGAGCACCTCAGCAACATCCCCCTGTTCTCTCGTGCAGCCTTCACCGCAACAAACGAACCCGGCGGTCCGGGGCACGAGGCACCCGTGGGCTCCAGTCACACCCCAAAAATCAAGGGGATGAGTGTTGTCCTCCACACAGCCCTGGGAGCTTTGCACTTTGCAGCTCCAGGATGGCCCCAGGCTTTTTAAGTGCTCCTCTGGTGACACCGAGTAAGTTTTTAATGACCACTCTCATAACCACGGAGAAGGGTGTAAAACCCAAAACGCTGACACAACTTTTAACTACAGCCACACAAATGTGCTGCTATAATATTTTTACAGTTCTTTTTTATGCATAATGCATGATCCTTCTGCTCAAGTCTCCTCTACGTTCTTTTCCCGTGAAATAATTTACATTAATACATAATTTATTACGGCAACTTGTAAAGCAATTAGGGGTTTCAATCAATTTTTCTTATCCTTTTTGGCAGATAAATTCTGTTTGGATCCTAACCCAAACATTTCTCTCCACACAGGTGTGCATCCAATTCCCTTTTTTTTTCACAAGTTGTTCAAGTTGAATTTTGGTCTCACAGTCCCCCGTGCACAGGGGGAAAGGCAGCCTGCATTTTCCACTGCCCCCTGTTTATGTTCAGGAGATAATTTCTAAATGTGGAACACTTTTAATGGCTGTAATTAGCTGATGGCAGTGCCATAGAGCCTTCCCAGCGCAGAAATAAGAGGAAAATATGATGCGCAGACTGTGCTTCAATGGGAAATGAAAACAACGGCCCCAAAATCTACTCTGGAGAATAAACACACCTGTGGGCTGCAGGTTGCTGGTGCCAACAGCCTGCACGGGGGAGGGAAATTCCCCACCTCGATGGCAAAACGTGCCCTGTTCTTCAATGTGATCCTCTGGTGAGGTCTCCCTGCTCCAGCTGCACCTCACCAGAATTCCTTCTTTGTGGCTTATTCTCTTCGTGGGTTGCCTGTGCTTGAATGTGCATCAAGATGCTGCTCTGCACTGAAGGCCTTTTCCAGAAAAAAAAAAAACAAACCCAAAATTCCAGGAAAGCCTGGCTCAGTGACAGGAGACACACAAGCCCTGCGAGTGTTTTCAGGATGCAACGAAGGGGTATCATTTCCATGACGGGGTTCAAAGGTAGGACTTGATCTTGGGGGTCTTTTCCAGCCTTAGTGATTCTAGGAGTTGGTTTTCCTCCTCCTCCTCATCCTCCTCCTCCCTTTTACAACCAGGGCTGTTCATGGGATGCCACACCAGGACTCTGATCCTGCAGCCACAGAGACTGCATGAGCAAGCACCTTGTCACAGCCTTAATAAAACCCTGCCTGCAGCTCACCTCAAAGATAATTTCTTGCTTACACAGATAACAGGAGGCCCCAGCTGCCAGCACACGCCCACTGAGCTTCCCTTACAAGGCCAGGTTGGACGGGGCTTGGAGCCACCTGGTCTAGTGGAAGGTGTCCCTGCCCATGGCAGGGGGGTTGGGATTAGATGACCTTTAATGTCCCTTCCAACCCAAACCAGTCAGTGACTCTGTGATACATGACTGGACTAGTGCAACCTCTGGTGCTACCACCTTGGATGCTGAGTTCTTCTTACCTATCTGCCAGGGAAAAGTCGGTCAATGCAGCCGATGCCTTGTTAAGATATTGTAAATTTTCATCTGTCATTCACCCAAAGACAGAAACATTGTACTCTAGGAAGTCTAAAATAGTAGAATCTCAGAACGGTTTGGGTTGGAAGGAACCTTCAAGACCAACCAGTTCCACCCCCTGCCACAGACAGGGGCACCTCCCACTAGCCCAGGTGGCTCCAAGCCCCATCCAGCCTGGCCTTGGACACTTGCAGGGATGGGGCAGCCACAGCTTCTCTGGGCAAACCTGTGCCAGGGCCTGCCCACACTAATGCCCCAACTTTCTGATATGTCACCTTCTTTCTCCAGCACAGTCACCGGTATGTTCACTGTGAACATGCAATGCAGACTGCTGGGGAAGGGAAGGGGAAACAGGACAATTCTTACACTCCCAGGTGTTTCAAGGACACGTCAAGGAGAAGGGAAAAGGGAAATTATTGAATTTATACTTTTAGGCATTTCACCTTTAATGTTCCTCCAGGTATAGGACTATATAAAGAGAAGCAAATCTTTTTAGTAATTACTTCATCACACTGGCAGGGCTATTTCTTATAAATCCTAAAAATCAGAAGATTATTTAGGTCACCTTGAGAAGTGGATCTAACATTGCATCACCCAACATCAAGTCTTTAATAATGTTTACTCAATACACTGAGTTCTATTACAACCCATAATCTGTTTTCAAATTCTTGTGGTGTTTAGTACCTTACAAGGGAACTCCAGGGTTTGGATGATGCCCTCCCTAGCAGAGCATGGGCTTCCCTCTGCCCTGCTGCCCCCTGGACCAGGACCAGGCTGCCTTCCTGCTAAAGCTGTCCTCACCCCAAAATCACCAGGAAGACCCTGTTCTAAGATCCTCAGCCTCTTCTGGTTAAAACCCCAGAAAATTCTGCCAACTTCCCTCCAAACCCCCAGCATCTTACATGAGAATATGAGTTTTGGCCTCCCACTGGCTGAGCTACCAGTCCAAACTTCATTGTGTTTATTTATCCCACTGCTTTCCACAGACAGGGACTTGGCCCTTTGGCCTGAAATACTGCCCCAGTTTTGCATTTGGTGCTGTAATAACCATGGGGCTTATTTAAGAAGTCAAACAAGTTTGGAGACATCAAGAACACTCAGGAAAGATGAGATGAAATGAAAACCAATGGCCTTTCATGCTGGGGAGAAACGGACTCCTCTTGACTGGGCATGGTGAAGACAATTACAGGGCACGCTGAGGTCAAGGAGGTGACATTCGGTTCCCTCAGAAAGAGGATGATTTGGCAGACACAGAAGACCATCACAGCACCATGAGGATGCAGAAAGCTTTGTAGAAGCTCTTAAGACAAACTGCTTTCCAATTAGGCAGAGACTCGACATATCTGTTGAAGAGCCTGCCCGTGCCCCAGCACAAGACAAAAACCATCTGATTTGGGTTCTTCGTTCCTCATTCACGTTTGACAGGCGGGAGAAAGGGAACAGGCTGTCTCTACCCCTTCTTGACTTCGAAGCTTGTGATTTTCATCTGAAAAAACACCCCAAATGCTCCCCATCTCCTCTGCTCCCCCAACTGACTGGAGCTATCAGAGAGCTTGGGAGGCATCTCCTGTCAGTGCATGTGCCCGGCTCTCATTAATGCTAATGAGAGAGTTGTGTCCACGAAGAGAAGGGGCAGCCTCTTTGTCAAGTATTGGCTTTCACAGCAAGTAGCTTGGCTCAAACCTGACCTACAATTTTAATTGGGTTTTGAGGCTTCGCCCAGTGTCTGGCTCCCCGCTACGAACGCCAAAGAGCAAAACCCAACAGCACATCCTCTGGCACTGTGAGTTTTTCAGGATCATCAACCAAGGCACAAATCCTCCATCAATTTTGGTGGCTGTTCAGCATAAAAACTGATAGCAAGCTCGACATAAAAGGCATCAAACATCCTGTGCCGTGGTTACTGCCAATGGCAAAAGTAAGACATTTTCCTTTACTGCTTGGGGTCTGTCCAAGCACTTCGTGCCAAGTGGTAGAACATTTTGGTGATAATACTGTTATTTATTACTTGCATCGTGCAAACCTTCAAGAGCCTCGGTCATGGGCTGGGTACTCAAACCCAACCTCAGACCCCAAATGTTTACAATCTCTCTGCATGAGTTACTCTAAAAATAAGCATATATATCAAAGGGGAGGGGAAAGGAGATGAGCAACTCCCTCAGCAGTGGCAACAGGGCACCTCTGGGGAACAGGATGCCCACCCCAGAGTCTGCAGTGCTTTTTGGGGACATCCATCTAGTCAGGACATCTTCCCATCACTGTGAGGAAGCGGGACCAGAGGTGGAGTAAATACAGACAGAAGTTTCTGTTACTTACCCATCACGCCACAAGAGAAGAGGGTAGGTCCTTGACTCATCTTTGGAGTGTGCTGCAAACAACCAGAAAAACTATTCACTTCTGGCAGACTCGACCTGGGCACCAGAAACCTCCCTGCCTCGGCAAAGCGGAGAGGAGAGCCTTGGGCGCCTGACACGGCCTGGCTTTGAGTGGGACCAGGGGACGGACCCAGTCACCCTCCCTCAACAAAATCAAACTTAATTAATGCAGAGTCATTGTCAAGGCCTGAGCTTGCAGATCATGGGTCCTGCAGTTAGTCCTTACCCAGGGGAACAGCTGCAGAGAGGTCCCCATTCCCAGGACCCAAAACAGCAAAAAGCGGGAGCTGCAGTTTGGTGGTAATTCTGGATTGGGCAAGAAGGCAGCAGCAGTGGTATCTGAACCACATCCAAGCCCATTAAGGCCCCCCTGTCCAGGTACAAAGCAGCCATTTAGTTCTTTTAAACATATAATGTGTTTCTAAGGCAAGGCGCTCTCACCTCAGCATTTCTGGGGAATCGGCACTAGGATTGTGCTGATTTGCACTAAAAATAGGGAAAAGTGCCACTATGTGGATACAAAATAATCCCAGTTGCTTTTTACACTCTTTTTTTTTCCCAAGAATTTTCCTCTTGACAGCATAAGAGACACCATCAGACTTCTAAAAATGAGCATGGATGGTTTTACATATAATAAATCAATATGTCATCTGCAGCTGCATGCCGTTTCAGCTATGCCTGCAAAAACACACTTTCACACTAATTGTTCTTTTATTATCCCTAAAAATATCCATATTCTGGCTTCTGAAGTGTCTATCCTGGCAGCACCATCCCATCTGACCGAGGCTTTACATCACCAGAGGGAAGCACCAGCACGGCCTCCATGTTCATCTGCGCTGCCATAATTGTGTTTTACCTGGCATTAGGCCACTGCATTCACACCTCCTCTCCTGATCCATGTTTTACAAGTTGTCTACTCACATAACCATGGAGTCACAGGATGGAAGGGTGCTTAAAGACCATCTAGTTCCAACCTCCTGCCATAGGCAGGGACACCTTCCACTATCCCAGGTTGCTCCAAGCCCCGTCCAACCTGGCCTTGGACACTTCCAGGGATGGGGCAGCCACAGCTTCTCTGGGCAACCTGTGCCACTGTCTCCAGTGCATGATGAGGATAATAATAATAATAATAATAATAATAATAATAATAATAATAATAATAATAATAGTGTACCAAATGATGGCACCTGCCTGTACAGAGCAATCCAATAAAGGATCTCACTTCATATCCAGAATGTTGTAAATATTGCATAGAGAGGGATGTGGAGGCAGAAAGCAACTATGGGGTGTTAGATGTGGTGAAGGTAAATAACAGACAGTCACCTTCTTTGGAGCACACGCCACTTTTCTAGGTGAAGTAAGGATATTTCTGCCGAGCCCCACTTTATGAAGTGGCAGGTAGAATTAATCAGGAGGCAGAGAGGACAGGCAGCTGTCTCCAAAGAGTGGCCAAAGTGGAGCAAAGATGGAAGGGGGACAAGTCCCAGAGAAGGCAGTGGCTGTGCCAGAGCAAATTTGTGTGCCAGCCCCAGGGACCAGCCACTGCCTGCAAATGCAGGAGGGAGAGGAATAGGACATATGTCCCATACTGAGTATAATTACCATTTTGTAAGGATTTTGTCCTTATACCAAATCGGGAGCTGAGCCAAACAAGCCCATTGGCTGCTGGCAGGTGATACTGCCCCATCGCTCAGACATGTACTTCCTTTCAGTTTTGCTTTTTGGCCTTGCCCACAGAGTCAACAGAAAAACTCTTGCTTGCTCTGGTGGATCAGCCTTGCTGTGATGGTCTGCCCCATTTTAACAGCTCGGGCAACCCAGCAATTCCAGCTGTGTACCCAGGACTATCACTGCACTACCAACCCAGCCCCGGAGCCGTGGGAAGCACTCGGCAAACACGGGAGGGCAAAGTTTCGTGTCACAGCTCTGCATCTCTGCTGTCTGCCATCAGACAGTCCAAGCACCCACCCCTTCTTGCAGGGAAGGAACTCCTCTCATCTGCCTCTCTGCAGCCAGTTCCCCTGCCCCTGCCCCTGCCCCACGCTGGGATACAACCAGCATCAGATGCTCATGCTCCCCCCTCACCACCCTGAGCAGCAGCCACAGGACATGCTGTGCTGCCTTCCCAGCAGGAGCTAACACTAGAACAAGGATACTCTTTTAATATATCAAAATCCTTCTGAAATTTCACCCTTTTAAGGCAGGATTTAGCACTGCCTCTGTCTTGCTCACCTTCTCCTCTGCTGCTCACTGCCAGGGCAGACTGCCTTTCCCGGCACACTGCGCTGGCTGCCCGGGAAGCCCAGCTGGACAGTTTGTCATCCTCAGCAAACTGAGGCATTTATATTTCTTTTAGGTTCAAAATGCCCATTTATGGCTAATCCTGCCAGATGCTTCCTGCCGTGTTCCTGCATGCCCTTATCTGAGACTCTCAGTGCACTCTGCCCTTGGGTCTCATTTCTTCCCAGGCCGTGACCATCTCTCCAGGAGGACAGAGGAACACGTGTCCACAACCAGCCTCTCTCTGGGCTCTCTCAGATGGCTCTCCAACACCCTGCACCTCTTCCTCCTGCCCCACTCCCGACCCCCATTTGCTCTGACCTTGCCTCCAGGCGTGTTGCCCCCTATTTGCCCCACCACAGGTATGTTCAGCCCCACAGCCTTGCTCACCCCCTCGCAGCATCCTTTAGACTGCTTGTTGGCACTCATTTGGGTTTTTGCTGTTGCCTGCTCCTCCAGTATGGTTGGATTTGCATCTCCTCAGGCTCCCAGCGAAATTAAAAGTACCACAGCACTGCCCTTCGCCATCTCCCACTTAATCCTGCTCCCCACTTGCTCATCCTCCTATTAATGAGGAGCATCTGTTCACTGCTGGGGAAGCAACTTCTCACCTGTGTTATTCACAGCATTGATTTGATTTTTTCCTACTGTTTATCCCACTGCATGCCTACTGAAATCCACATATGCAAAAGCCACAGCCCTCCAATCATTTACTAATCACCCGCTCCTTGGATATTAATGCAGCTCGGTAGAAATCAGTGCTACAAACCACCTAAAGATCCAGCCCTGCAGCACAGGAAAAAAAAAAAATATTACAAAGCTACAGCAAAGTTCTCAGCAGCACAACAGTATTGAGCACAGAATTTGCAAATCTTACCAGCTCAGTCCTGCTTGTTACGGAGTCAGCACCTTTGTTTTGCCGAGTTTTGGTTAAGATCATCACCATGGTAATGCAGTCCTGCCTCGGAGTCCATCAGGGTCCAGGAGAAGGGTGCTGGCAGCTGGGGCCTGCCAAAGCTCCTCTTTCAGTCCATGTTCCCCCGGGAAAGGCTGGGCCCCGCCGGCTCCTCGGGGGATGCACAGGGACAGCCTCGGAGCGTGGAAAACTCCCTGCACACAGAGAGAGAGAGAGAGAGAGAGAGAGAGAGAGGAACAGCCTTCAGGGACTTGCCTGGAGGGTGGATGCACTGGGCAAGGGGCAAGCACTGCCCAAAAAAACACCCTGGTGGCTGTTACTGCTGAGGAGTGTTTATTTTAGGCTCTTAAAACACTGTTGGTGTCCCTCTGCACCCACTCAGCACAGAGGTGTTTAATGGGATGGGCGCTTGCAGGAGCTGTGGGAAGCCCACAAGGGACACAAGTATTTCAGTCAAACAAATAAAGTTTCCTCTGAATTCTCCATTTAGAACAGGAATTCCTATCCCTATACTGAAGATATCAACACTTTGAAAGAAGGGCTCATTAAAGCCCTGTTTTTGATCTCACAGAAGCCCTTGCCATCACACCAGCTGGGAGCAGACACCCAGCAGAAAAAGGCCCTCCATCATCATTAAGGATGTTAAATCCCTCTTGGATGGATTTAGCCCCCTATCCCACCACAGTTAACTCTCCAGTTCCCAACCTATGAAGAGCCCTTTAAGGAAAAAACAAGACAAAGAGTAACCTGCAAGGAAGGAGAATGCTCCCTGCCCTGAAATCCTAAGAGCCACAGCATGTCTCTTTATCCTTAACCTATTTCTTAGGTAGTTTTAGGTAGGGAAAGCTAGAGGCTGCACAACAGGGAGTGTCTACAAAGCACAATATAAAGCCAGGCACTGCTCAGCCCTGACCATGAGCCCTGCCTCACCTCCTGGCACCCTCCCTGACAGACTGACTCCTGTGTTAAAGCAGACAGATTGCAATTCAAATCTGATTATCGAAATCAGCATTTTCCCCAAATCACTCCTCTAATCCCGTTTCCCTGTTTTGTTGCTTTGCTGTTAATGCAAAACAACCAAACCCACCACTGATCCAAAGGGTATAAAACACTGATCCTGTACCATCCAGTCAAAGCCAATTGTGATATTTAAGGGCAGTAGTTGAGACTATGCTGCTAAGTATTAACCCTTATTCCGAACTGATACGGCTGCTCTTCCCAGCTCGTAAATCATCCTGTCCCTGTTTACTTGGATTAGGCCTTGTGGTGGTGTCAAGAGTAGCTCATTTAAAGGCCAGCTGGCTGGTAAAGAAAAATCACCTTCTATTATTTTGTGGGGACAAAGTTCATTCAGAGTGCAAAGCCAAGATTGGGAATCAATACGTTTTCCAAAGATTTACTGCTCCCAAGAGTAGCTGGTACAGCCTCCAGATTTTTATGGACATCAGTGGGCTAATAACATACAATTTACTGGTAACTTCATCATAAACCTCTGGGCAAACTCAATGACCAGAGGCAAACTGTTAAATAAAAAAGTAAAACATTTCTGACTGTCAAAATGACACATCATTTGTGAGCCCAGATCACATATTTATACTATGAATAGCCTAGGTTCATGTGAAGAGGGCACAAGTTTTGGGGTTGTCCATCCTGGAGAAGGGGAGGCTCCAGGGAGACCTTAGAGCCCCTTCCAGTGCCTAAAGGGGCTCCAGGAGAGCTGGAGAGGGAATTGGGACAAGGGACAGAGTGACAGGACAAGGGAATGGCTTCCCACTGCCAGAGGGAAGGGTTAGAAAGGATATCGGGGAAAAACTCTTCCTTGTGAGGGTGGGCAGGCCCTGGCACAGGTTACCCAGAGAAGCTGTGGCTGCCCTATCCCTGGAAGTGTCCAAGGCCGGGTTGAACAGGACTTGGAGCAATCGGGTCTCATGGAAAGTGTCCCTGCAGTCTTTAAGGTCCCTTCCAACCCAAACTATTCTGTGATTTTTATCTATCACAGTCATAGCTGTCCCTGATCCTGACACAGATTTAGGAATGCTGGCTGCAGTGCCAGACTCCCTGTGTTTGGGAAGACACCGGGGCCACTGGCGGCACCGCAGCCACACAGGGAGCGAAGATCAAACAAGCATTCGGAGCAGCACAGAAGCAGCTGAGCGCAGTTCCTCGCTCACCAGGTATGATTCCTCCAGGAGAAATTACCTTTCCCCAAGGTGATGGCTTGTGCTGCTGCAGCAGGCTCTGGCACACACGCCGGCGTGCGGCAGCCAGCGGGAGGGAGCAGCGGCAAGTACGGGCAGAGCCTCCTGCCCAAGCTGGCCAGGATGCAGCAAACACCTCCCCTCTCCCTGCCCCGCTGCATCTCCTGCAATTAACACAACCCTAACAGCAGGCAAGGCAGCAAACTGCCTGCGAGCTGGCAGCCAACACCACCACCCCCATCACCACCCCCCAACGCCGGGTCTGAGGCGCGCTTGCAGGTACGAGCAATTTTAACTACGGCTTGGCTTGGTTTTGGAATCACCCTCGTGGAGAAACTGCAGTGAAAAGGAAAACTTTCCACGGAGTGTGATCTTTGGCTCCCCGTCCTGCCTCGCTGGGCTCCTGCCCCGTCACGCCCTCCCGATGCAAACAAGTGGCCACAGGACAGAAACTGCAGAGCTGGGACGGGTCCTGCTGGTGCTGAGGAGGAAATTACTGTGTATTTATAGACTGGACGCTTTCACACACACTTACACACACGCTAATAAAAATATACTCTTCAGGGACCATTAATTACTTTAAGAAATGTATTTCCTCACTTGCAATCAGATAAAGGAATTATCTTCATCCTGATGTCAAGGTTAAGTTCAGACTCGGGCCATGGCCAGTGGGGTTGACATGATCTCCCAGGCTGTATGAAGTGCCCATGGGAAGCACTAGTGCATGGAAGCCCCCAGATTTTAGCAAACCTTGATTTTCCTTGGGTTTTCATTCAAAATACAGACTGAACAGAAGCCAGAGTGGTCTCTGCAGTTGCAGAGGTGGGAAGAAGTTTCTCCCAGAGCTGCTTCCTGGACAGTATCACAGTCACGGAGTGTTGGGCTTGGGAAAAAAATTACACTGCAAAAAGAGCATCATTCAGATGATCCAACTTTCATCCACAGGCTTGAAAGGTAACGCTGGAGAACAAACATTTTCCTTACAAGGCACAAGCAAGGAGCACAGCCCTAGGGCTGCTCACAGGGGACAAACAGCCCTTCCCCGCAGGGAGGTCCCACTCCTCACCCCACAGCTGGTGTTACCACAGCAGATTCCAAGCACCAGTCACAGCCACGTCCTCTTCACCTGCTGCACTGAACTGTATGGAAAAGATCTCGGGATTTGACAAACTGTCTGTCAGAGGCACTGCCATGGTTGGAGGGAGCCTGAACAGTGACCAGTAACACATCCCCCATACATTTTAGGAAAAGTTTTCTCACAGAAATGGTTGTCCAGCCCTGGCACAGCTGTCCAGGGCAGTGGTGGAGTCCCCAGCCCTAGAAAGATTTAAAAGATGTGTTAATGTGGCACTTGGGGATTTCCACGTGCTGTGGGATCACCACCCTGCACCCAGAAAACATTCAACCCCCATCGAGCTCCAAAATCCATCTCCAGACACACAAACACTGATATAAAACCTATTTACAAGTGGGCACACAGGAACCAGGAGCCAGTGCTGAATTTTGCACACTGATACACCTTGCAAGCACAACAGTGTGATCTCTGTCAGAACATAAATCGCCTGCCCCTGATGGATTTTTAATGCTGCTCCAAGTCTCCAGTGAAGAAGCCACGACCCACACAGGACCCTGCTTCCTACCCCCTGCCTCAGCACCATTCCCTGTGCTGTTACTGAGGAAAACGAGGGGCTGAGCGAGGAGCCACCGTGATTTATTTAACGCAGTTTAGACCCACACGTCTGAAGAACCAAACCTAATCCTTCTGGGCAACAATCTGATCGCAATTCTAAGGCTTAACCCCCCTCCCACTCTCACCAGTGAAGCGGAAATTCCCCCACACTGTGCAAATTCTACAAAGAATTTGGGGAAATAGCAAAAACTGGTGACTGCAATTGAAAATTGTGGGGTTTAAGGCTTTCTGCAGAGCATCACGTTGCAATATTTACCCAAACTATAAAACATGCTTCTCTCCCCATCCTTCCCCTTCTTAGAAGGCACTTGGGGCTACACTGACTCTCCTCACTGCACAGTCTGTCTCACCATCAGGGCTTTGGACAGTGCCAAGAAGTACATCTTCAATTTGTTGATTTATCGCATTATGAATTTGGAAAAATCCTCCAAGCCTATCATTTGCATGTAGCTAAGTCTGGGCGCATTTCCTCACTCGGGCAACAATTTGCCTTCTGTAGCAGGGCTGAGGGGGCTCAGCTCTGGGCAGTTTGTTCCCCTTGCCTGAGCAATCTCCCACGTCATTAGTGAATAATGAGTTTATTTATGGGGTAAAATCCTCCGATAAACGTGAAAAATGCCATTCAGGGCCCAAGAAGAAGTCTGTACACTCTGAAAATGCACCAAGCCAACAGGATCATGAGTCAGTGCACGTGGCTTTCTAAGGACAAAACCTCCATGGATGCAGCCACATCAGGATCGTCCCCTGGGATTCTATCAAGAGTAAAAAGCTGCCCCAGGCTGCCCAGCCCTCAGAGCACAAAAGCTGCAGCCCCGACCCATCTTGTCCTGAGCCTGCACTCAGCTCCCCCTGCTCCACAGGGTCTTCCCCAGCTGCTGGAAGGGCAAGCACAATCCTTCCAAGAGGCAGGAGAAGGGCTCCAGTGCAGGAGACCACAGGTCCTGCACGGCATTCCCCTCCTGCCTGATCCCTGCCTGGCAGAGACTTGTGCTGCCACATGCTCTAAGTGCTCAGATAAAGGAATCAGAGATTGCCAGCCAAAGAAAAGGAATAAGGAAATGTCTTCCTCTGCCTCCTGCTTGCAGCAAGACTAGACTTTTCCAGGCCTAACAACATAAAGACACACTTTCAGCACTAATTACTAAGTAAAAGACTTGCCTACATGTAACAGTTTTAACGTGGTAAAGCCAGCATGTACAGCCACGCTAACAAAACCCACAGCCAGAAGGATTCTGAGGTCTACCATGACAGCACCCATCCTGAGGGGCCAGGTTAGGAACCAAAAATACCATGTGCAGCCTCCAAG